TTAGCATCTATGATCATCAGGGTTATTGGTCTGTAATTATCTTTGTAGTGTCTTTATTTGTTTTTAGGATTAGGGTAATTCTGGCTTAATAGAATGAGCATGGAAGTGTGCCTTCCTCTTGGATTTTTTGAAATAGTCTGAACAGAATAGGTTTTAGTTCTTTTTTGAATGTTTGGTAAAACTCCCATGTGAAGCTGTCTGGTCTAGGGCTTTTCTTTGCTGGAAGTTTTTTTTTTTATTACTGTTCCAATTTCATTAGTAGTTATCAGCCTATTCAAGTTTTTTTATTCTTCCTGATTGAGTTTTGGAAGCTTGTATTTTTTTAGGAATATATCCATTTCATTAAGGTTATCCAATTTGTTGGACTAGAGATGTTTGTAGTATTTTTTTACAATCCTTTGTATGTCTGTGTGGTTGGTTGTTACTTCACCTCTTTCATTTCTGATTTTGTTTATTTGTGTTCTCTCTGTTTCTTGGTGAGCCTGGCTAGAGGTTCATCAATCTTGTTTATCCTTCCAAAGAAACAGCTCTTGGTTTCATTGATATTTTGTATTGTGTTTTTTTTTTCCTTTGGTCTCTATGTCATTTATTTCCACTCTGATCTTTATTATTTCCTTCCTTCTGCTTACTCTGTTGCTCTCTTTCTAATTCTTTCTGTTGCAGGATTAGATAATTTATTACCATTTTATCTTGTTTTTTTAAGGTAGGCCTGTAGAGCTATGAACTTCCCTCTCAGGACTGCTTTTACTGTGTCCCATAGAGTTTGGATTGTTGTGTTTTCCTTGTCATTTGTTTCCAAGACGCTTTTTATTTCTTCTTTTATCTCTTTGGTAAACCAATCATTGTTTAACTAGAGGCCTGGTGCATGAAATTCATGCATGGAGCGGTTCCCCTCACCCATCTGGAACACTCTCCAATACAGGACCCCTTGGGGGATGTCTGACTGCTGGTTTAGGCCCGGTCATGGGGACTGGGGATAAACCATCAGTCGGACATCCCTCTCACAATCCAGGACCATTGGCTCCTAACTGCTCACTGCCTGCCTGTCTTATTACCCTTAACTGCCCCCTTGCAGGACTGGTCCCCCCCAACTTCCCCCTCTGCCAGCCTGGTCACCCCCAACTACTTCCCCTGCTGGCGTGGTTGCCCCACACAGCCTGCTGCTCAGTAATTTGGTCGGCCCTCACTAACGCCCCACTGGCCTGGTTTCCCCACACAGCCTGTTTGGTTGTTTTGGTTGTGATGGTCACTTAGGCTTTTATATATATAGATAGTATGCTTTTTAGCCTCCAAGGGTTGAATTTTTTTCATTGTTTTTATTATAGTTGAATTCTAATTTTATGCCTGTGATCTGAGAAGATGCTTGATATGATTTCTATCTTCTTGAATTTGAAGAGACTCTGCCTGTCTCCTAATATGTGGTATATCTTGAAAATGTCTTGTGTGGACTGGAAAAGATTGTATATTCTGTAGCTTTGGGGTGAAATGTTCTGAAGATGTCAATTAAGTCCATCTGATCTAGTGAGTCATTTAGGATTGCTGTTTCTTTGCTGATTTTTTGTTTAAAGGATTTATCCAGTGATGTCAATGGGATATTAAAGTCCCCTACTATGATTGTATTGCTGTCAATGTCTCCCTTGATATCTTCCAGAAACTTTTTTATGTATTTGGGTGCTCCTGTATTTGGTGCATATATGTTTACCAGAGTTATATCCTCTTGTTGAATTGCTCCCTTTAGTATTATGAAGTGACCTTCCTTAGCTCTTATTACAACCTTCACTTTGAGGTCTATTTTGTCAGATATAAGTATTGCTACCCCAGCTTTATTCTCATTTCCATTTGCCTAAAATTTTTTTTCCAAACTCTTCACTATCAGCCTGTGTGAGTCCTTTGTTCTGAGGTGGGTCTCTTGTAGACAGAAAATATATGGGTCATGTTTTCTTATCCATTCAGCTACCTTATGTCTTTTGATTGGAGCATTTTATCCATTTACATTTAAGGTTATTATTGATAGGTACTTGTTTGTTGCCATTTTAATTCTTTGTGCCTATGTTCCTTCCCTTTCTGTTTCTTCTTTTTTACAGAAGTCCCTTTAGCATTTATTGCATTGCTGGCTTGGTGGTAGTAAATTCCCTTAGCCCTTTTTTGTCTGTGAAGCTCCTGATTTCACCTTCAATTTTGAATGATAGCCTTGCCAGGTATAGTATTTTTGGATTCAGTCCCTTGCTTTGCATCACTTTGTATATTTTATTCTATTCCCTTCTGGCCTGATGTGTTTCTGTTGAGAAATAATTTGATAATCTAAGGGGAGATCCCTTATAGGTAACTTTCTGTCTCTCTCTGGCAGCCTTTAAGATACTTGCTTTTTCAACATCTATATAAACATCAAGCTTGTATTTTGTTAAAATACAAAAGTACAGAGATTTATTTTTAATTTGAAAAATTATACCAAAAATCCATCTAATAAACCATGAGAATGATAAGAAAATATCTAAAAAAGAAGAGTGGGAGAAACCAAGATGGCAGCATAGGTAAACACAGGAAATTGCTGCCTCCCACAAAAACTTCAAAAATACAACGAAAAGACAAAACGGACATCATCCAGAACTACAGGAAGGCTGGCTGAGTGGAAATTCTACAACTAGAAGGAAAGAGAAAAGCACACTGAGACCCAGAGGAGGTGCGGAAGTGCAGAGGTACGGGGGCTCGAGCAAACGCAGAGAGGGGCGGGCACCTGAGGACGTGGTTGACATTTATATAGATGTCAAATACAAGCTTGACAAAATACAAGCTTGACATTTATATAGATGTTGATGTGTCTTGGTGTTGTTCTTTTTGGGTTCATCTCGTTTGGGACTCTGTGAGCTTTTTGGACTTGTGCGAGTTTTTTCCTCCCAATATCAGGGAAGTTTTCTGTCATTATTTCTTCAAACAGGTTTTCTATTCCTCATTCCACTTCCTCTTCTTCTGGCACCACTATTATGCAGATGTTCTTTCATTTGATGTTGTCCCAAAGCTCTCTTATGCCCTCCTCCTTCTTTTTAAGTTTTCTTTCCATTTGCTACTGTGGTTGGATGGTTTTATCTACCTTGTCTTCTAATTCACTAATGCGGTCCTCAGCTTCTTCTAGTCTACTGTTGAAACTTTCCATTGTGTTCTTTATTGTGGCTACATCATTCTTCACTTCCTCTTAATTCTTCTTCATTTCTTCTTGATTTTTATGCATGTTGTTGAATTTGTGTTCCATCTTTTTCACTGTCCTTATAACCATTGCTCTGAATTCTTTCTCTGACAAATTGCTTGCCCCCATTTCATTTATTTCCTTTTCTGGTGATTCTTCCTCTTCTTTTGAATGGGGGGGGGTTGTTTCTTTGTCTCCCCATTTTTCCTGTTTCTTTGTGATTCAAAGAAACAGATCAGATCACTTGCTATGCCACCTAGATTTTTTGAATTTGTCTTATATAGTAGATGTTTTACAGGACTCAGTGGTGCAATCTCTCTGGTCTTTTGGGCTGGGACATCTAGGGTTGCCTCCTACTTGGGCAATTTGGGTTTTCTTGGTGTAGTTGAAATTTGAGTGTTATTGTCCTGTTTGTGAATGGAGTCTCCTTTCAGGATGTCTGGTTATGTGGCTCACTCTCTACCACATTGACCAAATAGCACAAAATACAACTTGATAAAACACAATACAAGGGGAACAAAACATGAATATACTCAAGACACCAATAACCCCAACAACAGTGACCACCAGAGAAAAGAGAATTAGGGGAGAGAAAAGAGAGCAAAAATGCTATTGAGGAAAGAAAAAATGGTAAGAAAGAAAAGAAAAAGAAGAAAAAGTAAAAAAACACAAAAAAACATATATACGTGGGGAGAAAGCACTACAGAAAAAAAAAGATAAATGAAAAAATGTAAACAGCAAACACTCAGAAAAGAGGGTGGGGGCAGAATCTGTAGAGGCTGAGATTATATATAGAAAATAAGGTTACGAAATTGAATGAATATGGGGAGGACCTCAGTTCAGTATAGAGGTGGTAGAAAGAGGATGAGTGGAAAAGAAGAAAAAAAGAGAAAGAAAAAAAATTTAAAAATTTAAAAATAAGATAAAATAACAAAAAATAGAATGAAGAAAAAATAATGTGAAAAAAATAAACAAACAAAAAAACAAAGAAAATAAAAAAATTTTAAAATAAAAGATAATTTTTTAAAAAGTGAAATGTTGTTCATTTCAGCTGAGTTTTAATGCCCCAATGGGGGCTGGTTTAAGATCTCATGCTTTTGTACTGTCTGACACTTCTCAGTTTCCTGTTAGGCAGTCAACACCATGTTGAAGTTCCACATGATCCACGGCTCCTCTGTTTGTGTCTATCTCCACCGCCTTGACTGCCAGCAGGTGGGACCAGTCTGCCCACTTAGCCTGTCTGCCTCTGTCAATCTTAATCTCTCAAGCGGCTGTTTCTGACAAAACCTTAGTTAGGGAGGTTGCTGTATTGTTTTCTGGGACTGAAGGGCCTCTCTTCAACCCAGTCCCTGTTTCTACTTCACCAATTCCAGCAGGATGTTATTCAATTTAGATGCTTTTTCTATCTGCTCTGAGATAAGGCTCAGGACACGTCTGCCATTTTGGCTGCCATTTTTTTCTATAGGTATTCTTAAGATGCATTCTTCCAAGGAGAATTTATATTTTCTCTGTCAGCTTCTGTCGGCACTACCAACTCAAAAACTTTATAAATTAAATTCTTGAGTGCATTTAGTGTAAATTGTAACCTTAGACTCATCTGTGGACTGCCTTTTGGTTAGGAATTCTCATAAGGAACTACCTCTTCATCCCTTTAACAAAAGCTAAGTCCAAAACTACTGATGTTCCTTACTAACACCCGTGGGTTATAGGGAAAGTTAGTTCAGTCACATTGGTGTCACTTTCTGTAGGTCCCTAATGGTCTTTGATCAAAAGTCCCCCCTTGCTTGGACCCTGAGCTCTATCCTCTGTTCCCAAGCACGGCCTGTGAAGAATGAAGTTCTAGGTCATCAAAGACTGGCACACACAGACCCTAGAGACAGAACCTAGCGAGAGAACATGGCAAAAGATCCTGGACAGAACCTGGCGACCGAACTTGGCTAGAGAACCTGAATAGAACCTGGCTAGAGAACCTGGATAGAACCTGGCTGGAGAATCTAGCAAGAGAACATGGACACAAAACTTGGCTGGAGATTGTGGCTAGAGATCCTGGCAAGGCTGCTGATCAACTGAACGCTGTCTCCGTGTCATTCCTTCTTCGCCGACTCTGTCCACACCTTTGGGGACCCCTGAACCTGCTGGGGTTGGACCCCAGCAACCCCACACAGCCTGCTGCTCAGTCATTTGGCTGGCCTTCACTAACCCCCCTGCCGACCTGGTGGCCCCACGCAGCCTGCTTGCTTGTTCAGTCATTTGGTCATCCCTCACTAACCCCCTTGCTGGACTAGTTGCCCCACACAGCCTGCTACTCAGTCATTTGGTCGTCCCTCACTAATGCCCCTGCTGGCCTTTTTGCCCCACTCAGCCTGTTCAGTTGTCCATTCAGTTGTCCTTTCAGTTGTGATGGCCCCTGGCTCTTTATATATATCACTTTATACTCTTTCAATAACTTAGAGCTATCTATTTGAATATGTTTAAGTTCTGTGCTGCTGTATTATATTTTATTCACCAAGAAAATAAGTCTAAGCCAAAATAATGTTTATAAATTAATCAAAATTTGAAAATGACTAGAATAAATTTGAAGGTAGAATACCTAAAAAAAAAAAAAAAAGACTGGCACAAATACTGAAGAAAGCTGCCACCTGCACCAGATTTGGGCTTTTTGTCATTTTTTTGTTACCTCAGATGATTTCTTTTATTTTTGCCAACTCAGCAATGCTTTAACCTAGCTTCTTTGCCATATTGCTAGAAAATTAAATGAAATTATTTTTAAAAACAGTTGTATATAAAGAAAAAACATGGCAGAAGAAGCTAGAGCAGGATAGAGTCAAGAGGGAGTTGTTTTTTAATTTGGGAGAACTTAAATTTATAGGTTATGGGGAAGGAACAAAAAAGGCAGAACTGAAGATGGAGAAAAAGAGGACTACTGGGTAAAGGGGAATTTCAAGGGAGGAAAAAGGGAGCTCAGAAGGAGGATCTAGAGCAGTGGTTCTCAACCTTCCTAATGCCGTGACACTTTTATATAGTTCCTCATGTTGTGGTGACCCCCAATTTCATTGTTACAAATTGAACATAAGTAAAGCATAGTGATTAATCACAAAAACAATATGTAATTATATATGTGTTTTCTGATGGTCTTAGGCGACCCCTGTGAAAAGGTCGTTCGACCCCCAAAGGGGTCGCGACCCACAGGTTGAGAACCGCTGATCTAGAGGAAAAGACTGGCTGAATCAACAAGGGTGTGATTGGCTGAATAATGGCCCCTAAAGTGTCCACATTCTAATTCCTGGAACTTACGAATGTTACCTCATATGCAAAGGGACTTTGCAGAGAAGGTTAAATTAAGGATCTTGAGAAGGGGAGAGCATCTTAGACTATGTAGGTGGGCCCTGAATGTAACCACAAGTACCCTCATAAGAGGAAGGTCTGACTGCCATGGAGGAGAAGAAAATATGATGACAGAAGCCAAGATAGGATGATGTGCCTTAAAGACAGTTTGCCAGCAGCCTTCAGAAACTGAAAAAAGGCAAGAAAACTGATTCTCTTTCAAGTTCCCAAGATAGGCCAGGAAGCCAGGGCAAGTGAAATGGGGAAACTGAGACAGAGAGCTGAGCAAACTGCAGAGCAATTTATAGCAGATACAGAAGGTCACCTCCCTAGAGATAACAATTAGGCCTCAGCCATATTTCAGCTCCAGACCCATAAAAGCTACAAAACCAGGTGAGCGACACCAGGACCAGCTTTAATGACTAACAACCCCCTGCTCTGACACTTACCAATCCGTGGAGACCACGGCCCTGGAGGAGCACACCTGGAAAACTGATGAATATTCTGCTGCTTCCCCGGACACCTCCCCTAAGATTCCCACCTGTGAGAGATAAAAGCCCTCAAGACAAAGGAGAAAGCGAGTGCTCTCCCTCTGGGAGCAGCCACTGTTCTTCCCTTTCCCCTCTTCTCCCCACCAGACACATATCTCCTAAACCCTAAAGGTTCCTATGAGACTTGCAACCAGGGCAGCAATGGGCAGTGGAAGTTCACCCCAGGAACCCCCCCTGGCCCTGGCCCCAAGGCACCCTTTTCTCTGACTTTCCAGAGAATTAAGGCAGTCCAGCCTGGGCTCTCCTGTTGCTCCTTCTATGCTAAGCTTTTCCTTATTTCATTGTCCCCAGCTTTAATAAATGTTTCCTCATAATCACCTGGATCCGTGCTGTGAAACCTTTCCTGCACGAAGTCAAGAACCCACACATTACTGGCCAGCCCTAGGGAGACCTGCCCACAGCCAGGTCCCCTGTCTGGCAGCACTTCCAGAAGAAAACACACTGCTGACAGTTTGATTTGAGCCCAGTGAAACTAATTCCAGACTTTTCAACTCCAGAATATAAGAGAACAAATATGTTGTTTTAAGCCAATCAGTTTGTGGTAATTTGTTCCAGCAGAATAGAAAAAGAATATAAGGGACTCTTTAGGAGCTTAGAAATGGGCTTTTCTCCAACACATTCATCTATAAAGTCAAATTCAGATATACTAATGTTTAATTATAACTAACTTGAATGCATTAAAATTTTAAAATTATTATTGGACTTAAATATAAATGAATTGAAACTGAAAATGAACCTTGCTTTAACTCAAGCTTGTCTGTGGAAACCATAAACACATGTAAAAGCAGGCGGTGCATATAACCTAATTCTGTTTAAAAGTAGGAAAGGGTGTTTACTTTGGTGACTTTGATGGCAAGCTATAGTTGTTTCTATTGTCGCTTTCCTACTATTGTATACCAAGGTGTGAAATATCTTGCTTCAAATATCTTACAGGTAAGTAATGTGCCCAGTGTCATGCAGCTAGTAAGTGGCAGAGCTCTTGGCTCCATAAATGTTCTGATAAGTACCTTTCAGGTTCACTCACCAAAATTTGAACAACAACATGAAGAGGAGCTATAAGATCCAGGACAGCACCTGATCAGGTAAAATCACCTGGATCTGTTGTAAGATTTCTGTTTTCTTTGTCTAGGTCCCCAGTAGGTAGGCCCCAGTTTTTTTTTTTTTTTTATCAGAACTTTCTCTTTCACTCTGAGGCACAACTTCACCTTTGCAGGGTAGTGACATATCCATGTATCTGACTCAGCATCTGCCTGTAGTCATCACCACCTCTGCTTCTGTTATGTGGTTGTGGAGGCCTCTCTACACTCATTATGGGTTGCCTACTCACTGTCATGGAACCCAGGAACTTATGAACAAAACAACAACATAAAATCTTTCAGAAAATAAAACATAGCGCATCAATTGAATACGAAATAAGTTTTGAGCCCTGGCCGGGTGGCTCAATTTGTTGGAGTATCCCATACACCAAAAGGTTTTGGGTTCGGTTCCCAATCAGGGTACAAACCCAGGTTTCAGGTTTGATCCTGGCCTGTGGCAACTGATCAATATTACTGATCAATATTTCTCTCTCACATTGATGTCTCTTTCTCTCTTACCCTTCCTATCTAAAGATCAATCAGCATATCCTTGGGTGAGGATTAAAAAAGAAGAAAGAAGTTTTGAAATAAAACAGGGGCTACTTACACGGGTGGACTATCACCACAATACTTTCCAATTCTTTTAGCGTCGTTGACTTCTCCACCATTAAACACAGCCACATAATCATATCGGCAGTAGTTATCGCGCTCAACATCAAACTTCTCAAACTTTAATTCTATAAGCTTTAGTGAAAACAGAATTAGAAGGGTCAAAATAGCATTGCCGAATGTCCTCAAATAGAATTCTTCCTCCCCCCAGATTTGTAGGTACCATGATTGTCCTTTGTAAAAATGCATTCTGTTTAAGTTATTCTTGCTTGTTTTCATAATTCTTCTGTGGTATTCATATTTCTTTTGATTTAATCTTTAGTCATTCCAAAAGATCATCTCACTCCCATATCAATCCTAGTTAAGATCTTAAACTTAAACCTATCAAACTAGGGAATAAATTATTTTCAAAAGTCCACAGGGTAAGCTTGGTCTATTCCCATGCTAAGTTCTGTCCTGCAATTAACATATGAAAGTGGGTCCCAGAAAGGGTATAAATTCATATAACCAATCACTAATGAGCAGTGGACATTAGACCTTCTCTGTTGATTGTTTTACAGCAATGAATAAAGTTATCTGTGGGGAACTTGCACAGATTCTATTTTAAAAAACAACCAAAGAAATTATAAAGCATATTAGCTTTCACAGCAGACCACTTGCTCTTTGAAGAAGTGTGGCCTGTTTGCACTGGCTTGGTTAAAGTGATGCAGGCAGACTGTTTTTTATTTGGTGACTGGGATGGCTATTATTAGTATGAGGACCTGATGAGTTTGCTATGCGAGCAAAGGGTAACCTTGAACATATACATGTACTTGGGTACTTTTATCTTTCCACAATTAGTGGCTTCTACTTATAAAATCTTCCACAGGGTTAAACAATTTCACATGGGACTTATTTACCATTTGTATTTCAAAACCTGTTTTGAAAATTGTAATTATGGAATAGGAAAGTGAATCCGTGGTTTTGCAAGTCAGATAGTGCAAAAGCAATTTGAATCTGGGTCTTTGTATGAAGAAAGACCTATGGCCAGCCAGGCCTTTCTTGCCCTACAACAGTAGCTCTTGAGAGTTGGGCCCCTCACACTGTCTACATAATTCACACATGAATGCTTTCTTCATATTTTCAGGGAATCTCACCTGATTCTTTGGGGCTAGAATGTGCCATAAGCAAGTGACTCCTGCAGGGTAATCACGGTCTGGCCAGTTGGGGGTTTTAAAAGAGCCGGAAGGTCTTTCAAGGCGTCCTCCACAATATTGATCCCCTGAAGTTATTAAATATGAAAAAAATCCAAGTTTATGCCTCATAGAGGTTATCCCAATGCAACCATGAGGAGATTAGGGATTTGGAATATTAGGTGATAGTACAGAAAATAAGGACAATTTCAGAAGCTCTTAAATTTTCTCTTAAAAATAGTCACATAGAGAACCAAGATGGCTGCATAAGGTATATACCTGTACATGTTGTCCCCCACAACCACATTAAAACTACAACTAAAAGACAAAACAGTGATTATCTAGAACCACGGGAAAGCTGGCTGAGTGGAAGTTCTACAACTAGAAGGAAAGGAAAAAGCACATTGAGGCTGGGTAGGAGGTGCGGAGGCACCAAGAGCAGAGGTATGGAGGCGCGCGAACCAGGCTGCACCTGGGTGCACGGTTTTTTTCAATCGGGAGACACAAGCTCCCAACTGCACTGAACTCATTTCTGGCGAGACTCTAGGGACCCACACTCCTACAGGGAGAAACTGGACTGTTTGGTATCAGGTCGGAAATGAAGGGGGCTTTCTTGCAGAACTGCTCGCAGGGATCATTGTTACTGTGGGGGCACGGGACTTGGGGACTCAGGGACGTGGAGACACTGAGATGCAGAGACTCGCAGAGAGGCGCGGAGTTGCAGAGAAGGTTGATGACAGCCATCGCTGTTTGCTCCACCCTGGTGATTCTCTGAGACCCTGCCCCACTCAACTTACAACCCCATCCAAGCTGTGCACAGCAGCGCAAATGAATCACTTGCCCTTTTGCAGCCTAACCTAACAAAATGCAGCTGGGCCAGAGAGCTCCAAAATTTCCAAATCCCAAACAAAGAGGAGAAATCTGCAGATATCCCAGTAGCTCCTGCTGGGTGGACTCACACAGTGGTTGAATTTGCACCTCCTTGGAGATTCAGGAGCCAGTGTACCCAGTGGTCACATACCAGATTTCAACTCCTCACATCCATAAGTGACACACTCAAGAGGCAGACTCAGTGAGCACCAAAGCCCCACTGAAGCAAGTCCTGCCCCATAAGGGTATCTCCAGCACAGTAGTTATTCTTATAGACACAGTGGGTCCTCGCAGTCAGCCAAAAATGCGAAGACAAAGAAC